TAATTCCCCCTGCTTTATTCTAACTTCTCAGGATTGCTTTGGCTATTCAGGGTCTTTGGTGTGGAACCCTAGACTCTTTAAACCTGTCTTCTTCTGCCCTCTCGTTGCAGTCCACCAGACCCCTACACAACCCATTCTGGCCAGACTGCCGTCATCAAGTCTTTCATGGACACTTGAGAACATAGTGAATTCTTCTTTTTCCCATTTCCTTTGTAAGTTATAAAAATCACCACATCGATTAAGTTTTCCTGAGTGTATTTCTTTCTTTCAAGTTTGATCGTATGGTCCTGGATGGCAAAGATGTGGCTTACTTATATTTCTAAATAAATATTATGGTCGAGATGTCCTGTTTTCTGATACTGGAGAAATAAACTGATTTCTGTTGGAGCAAAGACTCCTGTTTGGACCATCTCTTAAGTCTATGATTTGGGTTCCCAAGCTCTGAGATTACTATTCATGACAGTCCTTGACCTTAAGCTAGAGTCGCTTGCTTTTCTGTCCTTAAACCTCTCTCCCAGATTCTTATAAGGCAATGGGAAAACACTGGAACAATAAAAGAGACCAGGAATCCTAACTAAACACAAGGATGATAATACTGGTGTCATTTCCACTTCTAATCCTAGCTGGCACCAGGAATCTGTATGTACCAGGAAGTTTTGATTCTGGTTCAATCTCAGTATGAAGTTCAACTGAAGTGTAGCCATCGTGATCCCCTGAGATCACAGATAGTCATCTCAAAAATGAAAAGTCAACTTCTCTTGTTCTCTTAAAGCTTGTTTATTTTCTTGGGAAACTTATTTTATGAGGAGGAAACTTCAAAGACAATACTTGAGATCAGAGAGCATAATACCTAAGAGGGGCAAGGCTTTCCTTCTGTCCAGTTATGTGAAGTGGTCCCCAGCCTACTATACAATTTTAGGAAGGGAGAGGCCTCAGGATGAATCTGCAGACCTTGCCCAGGGTGCTTATTGTGGCTTTTTTGGACAGTATCTCAATCACCCCAACTCATTTTAGAAAGAAAAACCAGTATCCTCTTACTAACTAGCTCTCAGTTAGAGTCAGGGTGGGGGATGTCAACTTAAATCATGTACTATTTCTTTCTATTCCATTTTCTATAAAATAGGGCACTCTATAATGGTTTACAATGGTAATTCACAATGGGGGGGGGTGGGGATGTAAGGGAGAGGATAGAATTAAAACAGACTCTGTTACACTTTTAGTTTGCCAATTGGAAATATCTTTATAGGTTTTTTTTCTGTTACGTAAGTAATACAATACAGAAAAGCTTAAAGAAAAAGAATTTAGCCACCCAAAGGTAACAGCTACCAACATTCTGGTGCACATTCTGTACATATGAACACTTAACAACAATGAGATTGTGTTAGATACGATGTTTTATTACCAGATTTAATCACTTAAAAACGTGTGAGGAATATGTCAGTCTGGTTAGGCTAAGCTCTACTGGGCTAACAACCCCCAAATCTCAATGTCTTAAAGACCAAAGGTTTATTTCTTGCTTATACACGTTGACTATCTTGGGTTGCCAGTGGCCACTGTGGAACTTGAGCTTAATGGAGCATCTGTCATTGCCAAAATGGCTGGTTAGTATGCCAGAGAGAAAAGGCAATTCTGGAGGATGGCATATCTGTATTAAATATTTGGCCCAAAAGTGACCAATACTATTTACATGCATTATTGGCTGGAACTAGTTACAGGGCTCTGGCTTCCCACAAGGAGGCCAGGAAATGCAGTACTTCTGGCAAAGCACTAAAGAAATATTTGGTAAACAGCACTGAAATCTAGAAAAATGAAGACTTCTTGAAACCAATAAATAAAGCTTCACATCATTATTTTCAAGAGTTGTATTCTGATTAATCTGTATATCATATAAATTTAACCAGACTGCTTCTTAAGGATATTTTAGACCATTTCCAATTATTAACAGTTGTTTTAAAAGTTGCAAATAATTTTCCTGTATATTCATTTTATTTATATTAATTTTTTCCCCTTATAATACTTTTCTGAAAGTAGAATTCCCACCAGACCTGTATACTTGTGGGAATGTAAAATATTAGTCACTTTGGAAAATAGCTAGGCAATTTCTTAAAAAGTTAAACATACATTTACCATATGACCCTGGCATTCTACCCCTAAGTATTTATCTGAGGGAAATAAAAGCCAAATCTACAAAAACTTGCACATGAATGTTCATGCAAGTTTTGCATTATTCATAACAGCCAAAAAGTGGAAATAACCTGAATGCCATCAACTGGTAAATGCATAAAGAAAATGTGGTCTAACCCAGACAATGGGATATTATTCAGCCATAAAAAGAGAATGAAATACTGCTAATGCTACAACGAAGATGAGCTGGGAAAGATTCTGCCAAGTGAAAACAGCCAGTCGCTACTTCCTTTATGATTCCTTTTGTATGAAATGTCCAGAATGGGTAAATCCACAGAGAACAAGTAGATTAGTGGTTGCATAGGTAACGAGCAAGGGCTTCTTTATGGCATAATAAAAATGTTTTAAATTCATTGTGGTGATGTTGCACAATTCTGTGAATATACCATAAAATAGTGAATTGTGCACTTCAAGTGAATGAATGTTATTGTTTGTAAATTATACCTCATAAAGCTGTTAAAAAAAGATATACATAAAGTCACTGCATATTTTTTTCAGGCTTTTGATGTATATTGTCAAATTGCTCTCCAGAAAGGATGATTTATTCTGTTATTCAAAGAGGGATTTGCCATGAGTAATGTGCAATTACCAGCCAAGAATTTTAAATTAATCCAGAGTAGCTGGTTAATTATTAGTGTGATTTTGTTAAATGAAGATTTTATCACCTTCCATGCCTCCCCTCTGCACGTGGGAAAGTATAGAAAATATCCAGAGAAAAACACAATAGGAAAATTCAAGGTAAGTTCCATTTTGCTTCCAGAGTTTCCTGGAGTTTTGAGTTGGGTAATTGAGCCCATCAGAGGAAAGCTGAACGTGTTCACTCACTGTGATAGACACGAAAGCAAAGAGCTTGTTTTCAAGCCAAAAATAAAATGAAACAGCATACAGATATTCTCGTGAACACTTTGTTTTTGGTATCTCCAGATTTAAGAGCACTCGGATGATGACGTGGTGTGACAACACCGGTTAAGCAGTCAACTAGGTTTGGGAGTGATGAATTCTAGTTCTGACCTGGAAGCTCCCTAATTAGAGGGCAACTCTGTTTTTCAGGATGGACGGTCCTTTTTGTGAATTTGAATTGATTTTAGGCCCCCCTCAAAGAATTCATTTAAGGGTGACCCCACAATCATATTTATGTCTCTTTTCCTTATATAGGTTGAACTCCGGGTCCCAAGGCAAGTAAGGCTGTTGCAAAGACTGGTAAGTATGTTCACAGTACACCTTAAGTGTCCATTCCCTCACTGTTCTTTGCATTTTGGACCAGGCATTAACTTTGCTTGCAGCTCCTCCAAAGCTTAGAAAGTGCTTGTAGAAGAATTCTGACATGAAACCGCATAGCTTTTATCAGGCTTCCCTTAAGTGATTTTTCTTTATGGGAAAAAAAATCCTGTGTATTTCAGCAGGACTCTAAGGACAAAGTATGGAATTTCAAAGGCTTTCTTAAAAAAATTTAAAACACCTAAATTAACCTTTACTTGTTAATGACAGTCTTACACAAGAAATACTTTGCTGTGAAGTCAACGCACCAAAGCAAGTGAAGAATCGACATTTGTAGATTAAAACTTCCCGTGTACCCACCTTCCTATTGTGTTTGTTATTCCCTAATTGTCAATATGTCAGAGATCTTTGTCTTATAGATACTCTGTCTTCTGAATCCTCCCCTACATTTGTCATTTATCTATTAACTTTGTTTATGGTATATTTACTGTATAAAAGTTTAAAGGTTCTGAGTACTAAATAAGTTTATTTTTTCTTTATAGCCTTTGAGTTTTTCCTTCTTGGTTACAAAGCTTTTCTTGACCCTTTGGTGTATACTGTTAATGTAATCGCTTAGGTTTTTCTTAGAAATTTCTTAGAATTTTAAGTCTTCCTTTACATGTGTTATGCTTTCATAACATGAACGTTATTTCCCCGTCTGACTGGTACTGGGTGATCTTTCCAGCAGTAGACTGGAGGGCATCACTGTCTTTTGCAAACGTCTTCAGTGACTACACATCACCTGTAGGGTAAACTGCAAGGATATCTAAGACCCTGTGCAATCTGGCTCCTGCCTGCCTCTGGAGCCTCAGTGTACCCTAGGAGTCTCCTTATATTTTCCACACTAATTTGAGGTCTCTGAATGTTCTGTACTCTAATTAATGAATAGAATGTGGTGGCAACAGCTGGCATACTCCGTTACTGCCAGCTCACGGATCACAGGGATTTGCTTCATTTTCTTCTGAATTAATTAGATACACTTTTTATGAGGCACTCTGGCATCACATACACAAAAAATGTTTGTATTTTCAAAAGCAGGGGTATCTTTGTATCTGAGTCTTCATAGGGCTTAACGGATACTGGCCTGGTTTCCACAACATAATTCACTGTCACCATTTAACCTCGTGATGGCAGGGACCATGTCTTCACATCCTTCATAGGAGGATTTGTAGCCAGGATTTGTTTTAAGTAAGATTTTGTTCTTAGGCAGAGAAATGGTTGTCATGAAGGAAGAAGTTAATCCATCAAAAATCTCCAGGAACAGGAGACAGGGCCACATGGTAAAGCATGAGGGGAGAAAGGGCAGAGGGGAGAGCATGGCCCAAAGCCTTTATTGGGGTTTTTGCAGGAAGGAATTGGCTGGTCAGGTTAGGTGTGCTGAGTAAGCATGGGACTGAGTGGTTTGAATAACTTTGGCAGGCTCTAGGTTATAGTGGCACTCCCTAGTTGTCTGAAATCTGGCCCTGGGGTGATTTAGGGCAGGGAAAATAAGGGCTTGGCATGGGAGCATTTGCTAAGGAAGGTGGTGAAGGTGGATAAGGCTCTGGATTGGTTGGGTGTGTGTCAAAGGCGTGCTCCCACGGGAGTTGTTTGCTGTCTCTAGGAATTAGCTAGCCCTGGGACAGGCAATCTCTCCAGAATTAGAGCCACAAATTCCAGAGTGTGCAAAACAGAGGGAATAAGAAAATACAGTCAGTGCAGCAGGTAGCATGGTGCTAGGCATCATTAGCTCAGGAAGGGTTAGTTCCTACTCCAAGCCCTAACCATTATGGGTTATCTGTTTTTAGGAGGTATATTGAGTGGGATTATTTCCTACATTAAGGTGATAATTGCACTTTATGTTTCTTCTTCTCTAAATATAATGAAATATTGCTATGTAGAGTGAATTACCATTAATAGACAACCAGAGCTGATGCCACCCTCTCTCTCCAGAGGAGTAAAAGTATTTCCCTAAGGGGCAGATACAGTCCGTGGGGAGGTGCCTTGACTGGAGGTCTTCTGCTTCATGTAATCACAATATGGATTATGTTGCTTTTCCACAAAAATGGGAGGCACTGAGATTTTGCAAAGAGCTCTGGATCTGGAGCAGAGCCAGGCACCTGCCAAGTGCCAGCCTTCTTTATAAAATGAGGAGTAGCTGAGTTAGATGATTTCTCAGGGCCTCTACCACCTCTGAAATGATTTCTGCTAGTGGTCACTAAAGACAGCCACACATCAGAGTAAAACAACAAAAGGTTAATATTCTGTAAAGAGGCCTGGCTTCTGGCAAGTGCTGACGCAAACATTCCTCAGTTACATTTCCAGATGGCATCTTGGGTAATTCAGGACATCGTCTGGGTGGCTTGATTCTAAGTGCCTCGCATGAGTCACACAGAAACTTTTGGTCCCTCGAGCAGCTAATTAAGACACTCCCTGCCTCAAACTGCTTTTCCATCTGCTTAGCCTTTTGTAGGAAAAATAATGAAGAGATAATATGTCACAGGAAGACTTAATTTCACTCTGTCTTCCAGTTGACTTCCCCCAATGAAATAACGAATTGAAACTTAAATATGGAAAGTGTGTTGGATTTTTTACTGGCCCTTGGGAAAAACTGAGGCAACTGTTTCATATCCTTCTTTTGTGACACATTTTCATAAACCCCTGTAAACCCGTGCCACGCAGAGTTCTGCACTAGGCTTTTGGGGTTGTCCTTTCCTGACAATTTTAGATGCCTGTTTAATATTCTTCTCAGAATGTACCCTCCTTTCTATACTCTCCTTTCTAATTAAACCGCTCTCTTTGTTCCAAGAATGTGCTATGTTCATTCCTACTTCCACGTCTTCTGTTTTTAAAATGTTCTTTTTGTTCTCTTCCACCGCATACAAAGTCTCCATCTCTTTTAAAACCTTTTATTTTTACAGACCTCACTGATGTCTTTCTTCTGAACTCTGGAAGGAACTTATAGCCAATAAGTATATGTATCTTGCTATGATGCAATTTTTTGCACTTTCTTCCCAGTGTGACCTATGTGCCTTGAGAAAAGGAACCAATAGTGCTTAATAAATACTCATTTATTACCATTTCCTATTTTGGGGGATATATGTTTTTCTTTAATTGTTCAAGATCCAGAAAATTCAATTTCATAAACGTTTTTGAATTTTACTCTACACTAAGATCTGTGGGTAAAAAAATAAATAAAAGGAATAAGTTATGGTCCCTGTTTTGTACATGTTTGCAGTCTAGTAGGGGCAGGGGGATGGCATGGGCAGCATGCAGGAGTGGGGGATAGATTTGCTCATCACTGATTTCAATAGGTGGTAGACCAAGGGGGCTATGATGAAAGGCCACGGGCTGCGCCAAGTAAGTGACAGCAGGAGCTTCTACGGCAAAAGAGGGACTGCACAGAAGCAATAAAACTAAAATAGCTTCTTGCAACATTTCTCAGTCTGTCCCTTGGGCCCATAAACTATGCTTCTTACTCTTGATACAGTATTATGAAAAGTCCGCTACATCCATATTCTTGATTTAAGGCAACAGAAGACACCATAGTAGTTAAACTTGGTAATTTGTCAAGTGTCTTCTAATTTTCACATTTTCACTTTCAAGTTCAATGAAATTATAATTGATAATTATCTTATAAGTAAGAACAAATCAGCATGATATCCAAAATAGTCTCAAGTATAAGCAGGGGGGGCAAGGGAGCCCCAAGTCCAGTCCCCTCACTGTACCAATGTAGCCAGGAATTTACTGCCCCCAGGTCACAGGTAGGAGGTTGTGGACCCCAAGTGAGAATCTGAAATGCCTGATTTCCAAGCCTGCCTCTTTCATGAAGGGGTCCTGGAGGCAGCCTGGCTGTTCAAGCCTTTCTGCAGAGATCATTGTTAGACACCCTAGAAAGCAGAGAATTCCAAACCACACTAAATATAAATCAGTCTTTGTTGCTGATTGGAAAGTTACCTATGAACCTCAGTTATCACACATCAAATTATAAATGTTCAAGACAAAGGACACTGAGCTGAATCCATTCTGCACTATTGCCATATCTTGACATTCGCTAAGTATTCTTACCAACCGATCAGTTACCTCTTCTACGTAAAAGCAGAGTACTCTTAGGGAAAAGTGTATTAAGCATATGTCTTAGATAAAGTGTACAGCTCTAGCTACATAGTATTCCAAATAAAATTTAGCCTTTTTAGTAGAGAATCCTTGTCCAGCCTATTTTGGAAAAAATTTAAATTCTTCCCTGGGTACATTTGAAGCTATTTTTGATGTCATGTTGATTTGTTCTTACTTATGCAATATTTATCAATTATAATTTCACTGAACTTGAAAATTAAAATGTGAAAATTAGAACACATCTGACAAATTACCAAGTTTATCTACTACGGTGTCTTCTGTTGCCTTAAATTAAGATTATGGATTATATACTTCCCATTGTTTGCTTCTGAAATTCCAATAATTCATTAAATTGTTAAAGTGATATATATTCTCTATTAAATTGGAAATCTTAACTGTGTTCATTTCGTAAAGTTAAAAGATGTGCTTCAATGTCATAAACTGGTTCAACAGTTGTTTTACAAGTGGAAGGAGAAAAAGGTGGGAAAACCAATACCAGACAAAGAAAGAAGAAAGGAAACGTGCCAAACTGAAGATTTTTTTGCTTATGGAAAGAAGGACCCACACCTGCCCCACATGGCTGAGTCATGTGTTCATGCATCAGTGAAAACACTGGGTGTTTTAATTCCAACAGAAAACCAAACCCCTGATGACAGAATTCTCGGTGAAGTCCACCATAATTTCTCGCTATGCCTTCACTACGGTTTCCTGCCGGATGCTGAACAGGGCTTCGGCGGACCAGGAAATTGGGTTTCAGATGCAGATTCCAGGTGCAGCTTTCATCACCAACTTCACCATGTAAGTGACACGCTGGCCCCAGACCCCTGCAGTGAAGGGCTCTGGTGTCAGGGTGAGCCTGAGATGATATGAGGGCCTCAGCCTGGGGAAGACTTTATCCCCAAGGATGATACAGGGATCGAGGGTGATCCTCCTTCTCTCCCTTCCTCCTTCCCTCTCTCCCTGCCATCTTTGCTTCCTCCCTTCTGTCCTCTGTCCTGTGATTCCACTCCCCTTCTGTTCCTTTGTTTCTCTCCTTCTCTCCAACGGATGAGTGCCCACTCTGGACCAGGTTCTCTTCAAAGTGATTAGTGTACTTCTATGGAAAACACACATCATTCTGCTCCTGAACTTCCAGTGGGGAGAATCAATAAGTAAACAAATCAACGAAGGAGATAATTTCTCACAGCCAAGAGTGCTGTGCTGATGGCCATTTAACTTTACTTACGCTCCACCCTCCCCCTTCAGAGGGGCCTGTTCATGGGAAGTCAAAGAGGTGGCTCAGAAGAGGCAATGTTTACGATGATGACGCAGCATGAAACCCTTGATGTGCTGATGAAATATATATTTTTTCTTCTGATCTAAGAGGTAAAGATACACAAAATAGAGTAGATGTTCAGGTTTAATTTTAGGTCTGGGAAAGATTCAAGTTGGTGAATCTTCATGGAAGTTTGTTTGAGCCGGTCTGATTTCCTCCTAAATTACAAAGGCACCATGGGTTGGTGGAAATTGCCCTAGAATGAAATGAATAATTCAAGGGTAGTGCCCTGGACTGGAATGCATTCTTTCTGCCTATCCAGGAGGCAAACAGAAGTATTCTGGGGGGTTGTCATTGTTAGGAGATCTATGTTAGACTCTATCATGGAACTGCAGGCTGGTTGTCCAGCTGTCTCTTGTGTTTCAGGCTTATTGGAGACAAGGTGTACCAGGGAGAAATTACAGAGAGAGAAAAGAAAAATGGTGATAAAGTAAAAGAGAAAAGGAATCAGACTGCAGAAGATAATGGGTAAGTGCCGTTTAATTAGGAATTAATTAAGGAGTCTACTTCTACCAAGTGTCAGATTTCCTACTCCTTGCCTTCCCATCCTGTTCTCTTCTCTTTCTTCAAGTATGTATCTTCTTTTTATTTTTATCCTAATAATAAATAGTTAACTATACATGGTTAACAACAGAGTTAGGTAAGGGTTGATAATGAAAAGGAACATTTTCCCACCCCCACTCCCCATTTCTCACTTTCTAGAAACACCCACTTCTAATATTTCTAATAGTTTTTGTTAGTTACCCACCAACTCTAAATATGATGGTCATCTTGCTTTTTAAAGATTAATAAAAATCAGGCATTGTCTGTTGATTCTTTGCTGTAAAGAAAGAGGATTTAGTATTTTTATAATACTTCCACTTTCCCTCTGTATTCCGACTTTTTACATTATTATTTCTCTTCTTCCATTGATTTAAGCCATGTTAATACCACCTAAAAATGGCCCTCCTACCATAAATGGCAATATCCCCTCACCTTTACTTCTCACTGCCTTTTCCTTTCCATGTCTAGTTCCCATCTTTACTTACCTAATCATTTACTTTTGCATTGTCTAAGTTACCAGCATTTAAATTCTGGTGTCATGATATTTATATTCTTTGTGCATAACCGGAATCTAACCCGGAAAACCAATAAATACCACTTACTTTCCAATGACTACAGAAATGACATCAACTGTAGAGCTGCCTAGAGTGCTGAGTCTGTTTCCCTCTCTACCAGCCCATTTGAAGAGAAGCGATCTGTTCTCTCTGAAGAAAAATGATCTTAGTTTCTAGCTAAGGAGATGTGAATGTGTGAGCCTATTTTTGTTTATTAATAAAAGGACATAGTTTTGAGAAAGCTTGTTCTCTAATATTGTGGACTGTCAGACACTTTGCTGTTGGGAATTTTAGTGAAAATGGAACATCTCACTGTTGCCTGGAAGATATGAGTCACGGGTTCACTTTGATAACAAAAAGTAACCAAGGTCTATAGCTTCAGATAAAGGGCACTTAGACACAGAAGTCCCCAGTTATCTTGAGTTTGTGGTTCCTAAGGGCAAGAAACCTTGAGTGTGCTTCTCAGTCCAGGCTGATATTAACTGCTTTACACACAGCCCTGCTTTCTTTGACAGCACCATTACCTTTACCTACACTCCACCCTCCCCAGTCCTGTAACAGCCCTGGGTCCTCCTTTGGTGAGATTCTCTGCAATGCCTGTGGCACGTAGTCTCCCTTGCCATATCAGGTTATTAAAACCTCACCTGTTGGACTGTGGGTGGGTCCCAAGTGGTCTTTATTGAGAGGGGTTTATCAGCATTATCTTCCCTTACAGTTTATAAATTGTTCAGAATCATGCCACAGTTTAGTTGGATCACAATGTATACATTTCTGTTTTTCCTGGAGCTTTTGTCTTTATTTTTTCATATGAGATAATGCTTAATGCTGTCACTATTACCATCTAGCAAGACATCTAACTCTTTTGAAATGGTGACTAAACAAACAGCTGTGACCAAGTTTGCACAGGCGATGACATCCTTGTCTTCACCAAAAGCACTTGGAGGCCATCACTGATTGGGACCCTTCCTGACGTCAGAGTCCCCCTTCCCCTCTGGCCCCTTGGGTCTGCCTCAGGGAGAGTAGGAACGTTCAGTGGTCTGACCTCTCTCCTGGTATCCTCTGAGCCTTGTCACCTTCCTCTAGTGCAGCCCGTTGCTGCTCCCACTACTAAGGTTTTCTTGGTAAGGTCTCCCCCTGAGAGACTTTGGCTGTTGTCTGGGTTGCTTGGCTTTCTCCAACCCGTGTTCCCTCTTCTCTCCTCCCAGGGAGCAGGGGACTGAGACGTTCAGAGCCTCTGCGCTGATTCCCAGCAAGGACAAGGCTGTCTTCCTCCTCAGTTACGAAGAGCTCTTGCAGAGGCGGCTTGGGAAGTACGAGCACGCTGTTAGCGTGCGCCCCCAGCAGCTGGTGGGGAGGCTGACTGTGGAGGTGGATGTCCTGGAGAGGTCGGGCATCAGGGCGTTGGAGGTGCTGCAGTTCCGGAGCAGTCGGCGGAAGGGCGGTGGGAAGGGGGCAGGTGAGTGGTGCCGGCTGGCCGGTGTGCGCAGATCTGGGTAGCCCCGCGCAGGGAGGCGCTTCCGAGACCCTGTAAAACAGACGGCCCCGCTCCAGCAAAGACTCTGAGTGTTTGTGGGACCAGAAAGATGGTAACAAAACAAAGACAGTGACCTGGACAATCGTTTTCAAAGCCAGGCTCTACCTGGAGATTTTAAAATGTTTGAATCACTTGACACGGTTATCTCACTTCTGGGACTATAATCCAGGTGTAGCAACTAAAATATTGGCAAAGTTGTTGGCATGAGCTTGTTTGGTAATGCTTGTAGAAGAAACATTCCAGGATCCTAAATATTCAACCACTGGGATGTGACTAGTAAAATACGGTTATAAAAATAATTCAGCATGTGAAAGGGGAAAAAGACACAGTTGTACATACGCTATAATGTTAACAGGAAGCTGAGCAAAGATTAGAAAGTTTTATAAAATAATCATTTTATATTAAGGATAAGGGATTATGGAGTTGTTTTCTAAAAATCTGTTTTTAAAACATCAAGTGTTTAACATGAACACCTAAACACTGTGTTATATTCTTTCTGAAATTCAATAATGAAAAATGTGTAGTGTAAAATTGATATAAGACATAGACATTTTGGTTCATTAGTGGGACCACTCAATTTAAGTTTTTCTCAAAATTCTAATTTTTGAAATAGCATTCTGTTTGTTGAAATGATAATGGAAAATTCAATATAATCTAATTGACTCACTCTATCAATTTCAACTAATAGTTTATATTAAATATATGCTTGTGTTGGGCCTTATCCTAAATATACCAGCCAGGTTTAATGTCACTTTGGGTAGCAAGACAGATGTGTCAGAAAATTGCACTGGGATTGGAACGATAAGATTTCAGGTAATTTTGATGTCAAGGTCAGGGAGATGCTAAGTGACACGTGAATATGCAGAATCTGGATTCAACCCCAGTGGCTGGAAGGAGAGCCCAGAGCAGCCCAAGAAATCTTCCTGGGCAAGAATATTTAGAAATGGAACTGGGAGAGAGTAGAGACATGACAGTGGGAGTAAGAAACCGTTGTTACCTAACAGAAGGCCCAGGAGCGGGTAAACTGAGGAATGAGCAAAACGGAAGACACGCCTTCCACACGAAGCAAGCAGTTCAGTCAGCGACCCCACATGGTGGTTTCCTATCAAAGCTGGGACCACTCAGGCCTGTTATGTATTGACTCCTGACACTGAGCTTGACCCTCTCCATCTAGAACTAATCCAAAAATCAGGTAGGGGGCATGGGTAATGGATTTTAGTTTGGTTATTAACTAGAACCTTGAAAAAATGACCCAGGCCCTTAAGACTCAGCTTGCATGTGTGAAAGAGGCATAACTATCTGATAGGGTCTCTGGGAAGCATTAGTGTGTGTGCCTTGCCCAGAGCAAGAGCTTCATAATTAGGTATTGTTATCATCACCTTATATTCACCTCTCTTCTATGCAAATCTTATCTCCCGTCTTAGATCCTAAGGAACTGGAAAGTAGTTCCATGTCTGATTAACCTTTGCCTCCATACTGTATTTAACACAGTGCCTTTCAAACAGCAGACAGTGTCTGCAAATTAGAAGAGGAAAAGAAAACACCCAAACTAGTAACAAAGGATGTTTTAAAATTTCATTTCTTTCTAAGCATAACTTATAGGGAAATTCCCTGTGTACAACTGTGGGAAGGAAGTAGGTTTGCAGGAGGAAGAAGATTCTTGGAGTTGGTAGGGCCTCAGGGAGGGCTGAGCAGTGGCTCTCGTGTCTGGGACGAAAGCCCTGCTCAGTAATATGCGGAGGCAGCTGGTAGGGGATTCTGGTGGCAGTCCCGCTACATAAGGATATGTAAGTGTGGTTTGCCTGATTCTCAGAACCACTGTGACCCTTCAGGGATGAGGACGAGCTGTGCTGTGCCTCATGTTTGAAGAGGGGATGAATTAAAACGATGAGCTGAGAAGTTGCTTGCTGTTTCTATTCAGAACCTCAGAGGAATTTTTCCAGACCATTGATCTCTTGGGATCTGTTTATTTATAAGAAAATTGTTTTCCCAGCTTTTTGCACCAAAGGAGATATTTTGCCTTCCAGAGTCTGGAGATTTCACAAGCAAGCATTCCCCTGGCCAGGTGCCCTGGACTGGTTCCGTCTTTGCTCTCCACCCCATCTTTCCAAGCTCAGCTGTTGTTGTTCTGCATGAAGGCAGCCTCCGCAGCGAGAGGGCACAATGTGTGGTTGTGTCTGGATACTCTTGCATGTTTCCAAAAGGAAGCCAGGGTAGAGATCAAACGAGAGTGGAGCTTGCACCACCAGAACATGAGTTGTAATTGTGTGATGTGGTCCCAAGCCAGTACATTCCTTTGATAGACCAGGCTGTGGTAAGAAATCAGACTTCTGAAATTTCTCTAAGCAGATCTCTGACCACTGGATCCATTTTCATCTTTAGGGAGGCAATTCAAGATAAGGATTATGATGTGCTAGATACTAGAGGGACCCAGCGCTTTACATATGTTATTATCTCATTTAATCTTTATAACAGCCCTCTTAGGTCATGTTTTTTTATCCCAATTTTATTTGTGAAGAAGCTAAGGTTTATAGAGTTTAAGTAATTGAATAAGACCTCACATTTATTTCTGATAGAAACAGAATTTAAACATAGAACTATCAGATTCCAAGTTCATATCCTTACCCCTATACTTTACTGCCTCCTTGTTAAAGAGAAGACTGTGAAATAAATATCCAAAGCAAATAGACAATTGGCCAACAAGCACATGAAAAGTTATTCAAGACCATTGGTCATTTGGAAATGCAAATCTAAACCACAATGATATACCACTTCACACCCTCTGGAATGGTTATAATAATAATAAAAAAATAAACAAATAGAAAATAATAAGCTTTGGCAGAGATGTGGAGAAATTGGGACCCTTGTACATTGCTGGGGAGAGTGAAATGGTGTAGCCACTGTGGATGACAGTTTGATGGTTCCTCAAAAAGTTAAATACAGAGTTACCATATGACCAAGCAATTTCTCCAAGAGAATATGCAAAAGAATTGAAAACAGGTATTCATATGCTTGCACCTGCATATTCATAGCAGCACTGTTCACAATAGCCAGAAGGTGCAAACAACCCAGATGTCCATGAGTAGACAAATGGGCAGATAAAATGTGGTCTGTCCACATGATGCAATATTATTCAGCCATACAAAGGCATTAAGTACTGACAGGCTACCATGTGGATGAGCATTGAAATCATGCTCAGTGAAAGAAGCCAGACTTGAAAGGTCACATACTGTATGATTCCACTCATATGAAATGTCCAGAATAGATAAAGCTACAGAGATGGAAAGCAGATTGGTGATTGCCAGGGCCTGGGGAGGCAGGGATGGGCAGTAACTGCCTCATGGTTACATGGTTTCCTTTGGTGATGAGGGGCATGTTTTGGAACCAGAGAGAGGTGATGGTTGCACAACATTGTGAATGTGCTAAATGCCACGTCCTTGTGCACTTTAAAATGGTTCATTTAATGTTATGTGAATTTTACCTCAAAAAAATAAAATGGAAAAAATGACATTCTAGGTTTGTTAGAATCCTGCTTTCTCCAAGTGCCCTGGAAGCAATATTTGCTGTGCTCTCCAGAAGTTAGCCATGTAGCCTTCACATGACCAGGAAGGCAAGTAGTAGAATTTGGTGGAACTCAACTGCAGCTTGCTTTTTAATCATATTACTCCTATGCAAGCTTCCTACAAAATTTTGACCTTCAGGTAATCCTGAGAACTGAGAAGCCTTAATTAGAAAGAAGAGAACCACAGGAAGCCCATTTTCATTACTTTTATCCTGAAAGATCAGGTTGCTGGCACTTTGGGAATAGAATAAAGACCAGACACACGTCCAACAAGATCAAGTCATCTCAACTGGAGACTAGTACAAAGTCTTGTATATCAGTAGGAGGTGGATGAATGTTTAAAAATCTTATCTCCTTCTTTTGTGTGGCCTATTAACCTCATGACTGCCTTTTCCTGGGAAGCCTCCCTTAGGATTGAATTCTAAGCACCTAGCATGGTGCCTGCTATAGAATGGTGCTCAATACATATTTGTTAAATGAATTTAGGAATAAATAACTGTTGGCAATGAAAATGCTATTAGGTCTTCAACACTTTCTTGGTTTAAGTTGGTTAATTTTGCCAGATATTGGGTGTAGCTCTTATTTCACTGTGAAGGATTAGGGTGCAGAATTTGGTTCCAGAAGACTGGTTGCAAAAATGTAGGTCTCTTCCTTTCCCACGGTTGCCTGGTAAGATACAGGTTGCTCAGTTAAATTTGAATTTCACATAAACAATATGTCCTGTGAAATATCTGGGACATACTTACACTAAAAAAGAAATCATTCATTGTTTATCTGCAATTCAAATTTAACTGGGCATCCTGTCTTTTTATTTGCTAAATCTGGCAGCTCGGCTCTATTAAAGGGTTGCATTGTGACTGTTGGGTCACCCCCAGTACCAGTTTCCTGCTGCTCCATGTCTCCCGGAACTTCTCCACTTTGCAGCTGGAAGGGCATGGCCCTGTTTGGCCTCGGGACATTTGCCAGGAAACAATCTGGTTGTTACATGAGGGTTTCCAGCATTGTTCAGGGCAAAAATTATTCAGGTATGAATCATTTGGCTCCATAGCTGGTTTTGTTTTGTTTTGTTTTTCATGTGGACATGAGGACCCATGTTATCTAGTTTGTTCTGACGTTGGCAGTGGCTGGGTCAGAGCCAGCTGTAAGCGGGATGACTCACAGAGACCCAGGAAGTGGCCTTTTCTCTTTAACTTGACATTGGTGAGCGACCTACTCTTCTCTGGGAGGCCTCACTCTGTTTCTTCCTTTTTCCTGCTGTCTTGGTTTGGTGTGCTAGCTCAGAAGTTACCTGGGCGAATGGCAGTTGTCCACCGTGGCTGTGGCTGAAACCAGAGGTGTGTCCAGCAAGTATGACATGGGT